GCACTAGCGCAACATACGGGCAGACTCGCCCATGCACCCCAGGCTATCCTCACGGCGCCCCGATCCACTGGGAGCGCCCTGGCTGCCAGGAGGAGAAGGAACGGGATCACCCATTTTCGCTCGCGTGCTCTGCAAGTGCAGGTTCGCGGACCCCACACACGGCCGCGCCCACGCGCTGGCCAGCACCCACGAGCGCCAGCACGACCAAGAGGACCATCACTCCAGCGATCAGAAGGCTCAATTACCCTGCGGCTCAGACCTTGAAGCAACAGGCGAGGCTGCTCTGCAGCCCACGCGCTCAGGACAATCAGGAGCCATCTCATCATCTTCTGCTGGAGCTCAAGGTAGCAGTTCGGGCGACTATGTCACCCAAACGCAGAGCAGCGGTTAGGGCGACTGTGCCACTCGACCAGGGATACGAGCCAGTCCAGTGACAGGCACAATGCCCCGACGGCCAGCAACACGATCTGCCGACGCAGCTGTAGGCAACCTGACGCACACAGACTTGGCGAGCGCCGACGCTACCACATCCCAACGAGCTCGTCGCGGTGATTCGCGTGACACGCGCGCGGGAAGTGCGCAAGTTGCACCTCCAGCTATGGGATGCCACTAAAATGGATATGTCACGATGTTCACGGGCAGCCAACATGCCACAATATATGTTCAACCTTATCCCCACAGCGGCCAACAAGTGCATAGGAGCGCCGCGAGCGGCTTCCACAAGCGCACCAGACTACCCCTGCACCCCACCTTTCGACGCGATTCAACCAGCACATCGAGTGCGACATCTTGCGCTACATGGACCACATGATCATACACCTGACCCGCTGCGCCTCACGGCGCCATAGTGGCCAGGACCACGTCCAAGCGCGACTCGGCGCTGCTTGCCGCCATCGACCGTTCATGTTTCCAGCTATCCGGCGCAATGGAGACGTTCATCGTGGACGGCGAGGGCGGGATGATCCCACCACATTTTGTGGAGGAGATGAAGAGGCAAGGAGTACAAGTGGACCCCTCGTGCGCACGCTCTCTTTGTCGAGCGACGCAGTGGCAGATTACGAGACGCGCTGCACCGCGGAAGAGCAGCTAGGGCGCGAAGGTATATCACGGCGATGTTTGATTCAATGTTGTTTCACACTATCTTCGCCGGCAATGGCCTCACCCGCGTGGGCGGCGGTTGTCTTCGCGACGTCGTCTTCGGAAGGCAGCCGCCCACGATGCCGCCACTCGAAGCAGACGGAGAGGATGACGCATTCAGTGCCTGTGGCACCAGTGCGCGGCGGAGAAGTGCAGCCCAGCCGACTGCAGCGGCATTACCGAGAGAACATCATGCAACGCATGATCGAGACCGCGTCGGTCTCGCGCGTCAAACGCGCCGTCAGGACCCGCACCGCCGAGTCCGCGGCGGAGCGCCGCTTACACTCCAACGACCAGGTGGACATCCGCAGGCCCCCGAGCACGATGGACGCGCAGGGCTGGGCCGGCCCCGGGGCGGCTACGTCTGTGACCCAGCTCGAGGCAAGGCGAAGCACTGCCGAGCCGATATGTCCTGCTTATTGCAAAACGCCCAGCCCAACAGAACTCCATCGGCGCCGAAGAGCTGGGCACCAGCATGGCGCGAGCAGACACAGCCCGGGACCGCGCTGGAGCACGTCGCGCAAGGCTTCGGGGCCAGGACCTTCGGCCACTGGGAGGACGCAACGGGCGCGCAGATTCTCAACTGGCAGACGTTCCTGCCGCGCGTCTGATTCGCGGCCAGAAATACGTGGGCCACTGGCAAGGCTGCAGACGATGCTCGGCCATGCTGCGGCGGCCCCCTCAGAACCCGATGGACGCCCAGAAGATCCACCTCAACAGCGTCAACTTCGACGCCCATCAGCTCATTGGCGAGCATTGGAAGAAAGCTCGCCTCATTCAGTTGATCCTGATGACGAGCGGCTGCTTGTAGCAGACGTTGCACAGGATCTGATCGGCCCGTTCGGCGATTGAACCATCGACGTTTCCGAGGGCGCCGCCAGCGCCGCCGGGAGAGGCTCACCATCAGCTCTCTCGGCTATGCCTGAGGAGACTGACAGGGACTTCCCCGGTCAAATTCAGCAGGCGGTGTTGGCGGCCTGGCCCGAAGTCGAAGGAGCGGGAGATCCTGCTCAACAGCTCGAGGATCTGGATAGCGCACACAGCCGGCAGAAGATCCACGCCGCCGACGAGCACGCCGCGGCCCGCCTTGGCCGCGGGCCAAGCGGGTGGCCCGAACATTTCGAGATGCGGCACCATCGTCAGAGCATCCATGCGCATTGCCACTACCGGCTGCGCGGAGCCCCCCCAGGCGACAACGCCACGCCAGAGGAGGAGGACGAAGGGGGGGGCACGTGGAGCTGCATCTTGATCCAGCGGAGCGCGAAGCATTCCTGAGCTTCAACGAGGGAGCGCCGGGCGACTGCGTCGCCAGCGCTCTCCAGACGGCCGCGCATTAAATTCACGCGGCCTTTAAGACCGCGACCATCAGGCGCGGCGCCGACCTTCTGACCGACGAGGAAGTGTCGAGGCTGTCAGAGGAGCTCGCAGCGGCCATCTTCAGAAAAATATCACAATCTGGGCCAAATGCAAAGTCTTCGAGAGGCGACCGCCCAAGGGCGCCCGAAACGCGATGGGCCCCAGACGCATCTTCAAGCGGAAGCACCAAAATGGCGCAGACGACAAGACGGCGCGACGCCGATGGGGCTTCCGCGACGCGGGCGCCGGAGCCCTGGAGACTTTCGTTGGCGCAGCACAGTGGGCGCCACAGCGCCCGCTGTCCGCAGAGGCGGCGCGTCGCCCCGACGGGGCGCGCGTCGCCGCGGACGTCGAGAAGGCGCCCCTGCAAGGCAAGACCTGCGCCGAGATGCAGGAACAAGGCGAGGCGCCCCGCGCGGCGAACTTCGCCCTGCCACCGGGCAGCGCCGCCATGCCTCGGCAGTCGCCCGGCTACGAGAACTACGACGAGCAGACTGAATGCTTGCACTGCCTTCATTTCGGCACGGGCTGCAAGGGCGCGCCCCGCGTCTTCTCCGCGAAGCTCGCCGGGGCCACGCGCCAACCGTTAAACCTACCAGGCGGGGCGAGGGACGTCTAGCGGCGGCGGCGCCAGCGACTCAGAGATAGCGCCCACGTTGTCCAAGCACGTTGACGACCTGAAGACCGTTGGACACGGGGAGCACGTCGACCGGCGTTTCGGCCACGTCGAGAGCGTCGTCGGCACGATGCAAGGTGGCAGCGTTGATTCCCCCCCCCTGCGGAGCGCACCAGCACCGCAGTGCCGATGGCACCGCGACGTCCGCCAAGGACGAGTACATCGATGCTCTGGTACCGATCTGACACGTCGAACTGGTCAACGCCAAGGTTGACTTTACCTCTGCGTCTCACCCCTGGAAGCAGCGGCCGTGCCCTGCTCGCCCAGCGCCGCGCTGCCGCGTGCATCGTCGCCCTTCAGAGAGCCAAGACGAACGAGTTGTTCAGTTTACGCGTGACGCAGCTCAACCCACATGTTCTGGCCACGCATAAGATGAAGGCCCGCATAACGTTTCCAGCCACGGGGTGCGCCGGGTTACTCAGCGCGCACAGCGGCTGGCCATTGAAGAGGGAGGAGAAAGAGACAGGGCACGGCATGAGAGGAGCCGTATACACGCGTCTCGGCAAGTGCCGCCGCCTTGGCCACCAGGCGCGCCGTTTGTTGGACGCAGTGAGCCGATCGCATAGGCTGTTCTGCATATCTCCGTTCGGCCTCGAGCTGGTCGCAGCATGCGGCGCAGCCGACGGACTGCAAGCGCACCTCCTCGCCGTGCACGAAATTGCGCCCGGCCCTGCCTCTGACGAGGAGATCAAGAGGCCCGGAGAGGAGGGAGTTTACGCTATCCCTGTGGATCTAGTCATCGACGGCCTTTCGTCTTGACCGCCCTGCCCATGGACCTGGTGCGGCCGCCTTCCAACAACAGCAAGCATGGCAGGCCATGTGCAGTGGTTGGCCGACCAACCTCGCACCAAGAAAGTCGAGTACCTACTCCGGTGCGACACTCAGCACATGCGGCGTAGCCCATGACCAAAGGCACCATGGACCAGGAGCTCATCTTCAACGTGATGGACGGCCACATCAAGTACGACCCCGACGCGCTCAAGTTCAGCGACGAAAAGCGAAAGCAGGCCGCCCCGAGCTCCCAGCACAATCCTCTCACCAAGCAGTGAAGAGGCGATTCGTGCGAGTGTGCCACGAGGTCACCCATTGCAATCCCGCTCATCGGTACACGGGGCGGCCGACCCAGCAGCCACAGGATCGCCAAGTTTTGCGGGCAACCACGGCCAGGCACGACGAGGAAGCTGAGGTTTCGCTCGAATGCTGCTCCAGCTGACTGCGTCAGCTGGATAACAGTATGTGTTGTATGTTTGCTTTGTGCGCGGTCAGCAGAGCGCCCATTGCAAGCATGGTGTTGTCCCAGAACGCGGTCATCAGACCACTTTCAGCTGCATTTTGCTCCAACGAGGACACGACGGACCAGCTTCAGCACCAGACTCAAACAGCAATTACCTGTTCTATGTTTCTCACCCCAAATTTGCAGCCGGATCCGTGCGTCGCGCCCGCTTGAAAATGTGTTAGATCATTTGCTGGAACATGTGTTTTCCAGTCGGTCTATCGAGAGAGAGAAAAAAAAAAAAAAAAAAAAAAAAAAAAAAAAAAAAAAAAAAAAAAAAAAAAACGGTACATCCATTTGTTTCGTGGTACTCGCCGTCTTGATGGTTCCAATGCGCGCCAGTTCTCCCGACCAGTGATCTTCCAGGAGCACGAGGACGAAGACGACGAAGGCCTTGCTTGCAGCGTGGATTGACTTGCTTCGGGACGTGTTGCGAAGCACACGAGAACATAGGTTTCGATGCGCCCCAGGGGCTAACAGTCCAGGCCCGACACACCGTCGGCAACTCACGGCGGCGGCTGACCGCCGGCGTTTTCTGAATGTCGTATTGCCCGCGAGGTCACCAAGGGAGGACCTTGGTTCGCTATCGTGGGTTCGGCTGTGCGAAGTACAAGGCAGTCCAGCTGATTTGGTGTATGTCGTTGTCTTCGTCATGCCTATCCAGCAATATGTGTGTCGTGTGCTCGACATGGTCGACATGGTCTGTGTTGTCGTTGCCATGCGCAGATAGTCAGTGAAACGTTCCTGCACATGTTGGCCCGTTTCTATTGCAGGGGATTTGACGTGTGATTGCATGCATAGGCGTCCTCGAAGCAGGATCCCATACACGCGCCAAGCAAGGTCTGAAGTGCTAGCTTTTCGCCGTGCGCAGACATGTTTCAGCATGTATCCGGGATCAGGTTATGTTCTTCATGATTGTTGCATACGTGCCAGTGCAAATGGTTCTAGCGGTGAGCCCAGCCAGGGAAGGGTTAACAATGCATGCAAGGTGCCAGGTGGTGTCAAAGCAGACCGTGTCTTCGTGATGTCGTACACATGGGACCGAATTGCCAATCAAAGCTCAACAGGCACAAGGCAGCAACGATGAACGTATGACGAGATTGACTTCGCGTCCCAGCATTCGCTGCAAGTTTGGGTTGTCATATAATTGTCGAAATGGGTTGGGGTTGCTGTGTCTTTGCGCAACTGTGTCGTGTGACCATGTGTGTCACATGCGGTAGTTTCTAGGTCGCAGGATATGTTGGCAATGTATGTACTTCTATCCAGGGGCCTCTTGATGTTTGCGACGTTCTACGAAGATGAGATGGAGACGGTCGTGAACATGGCAAACATGTACAAAAGCGAGAGCAGCTTTGTGGAGGCCCCTCGCGCGACGTGTATCCCCAACGGTTCGGCCGAAACGATTCTTCTTGTTGATTCGGTTGGTCGAGCGCTAGTATCCCGCATTAGCAGCCCACGATGCCCACATAGTTCCATTCCCGACCACATTGCGAGCCCGTTGGGCGGACGTGTGCCACCTGTTCTGTTCGACGGCACGTGCCCTTGGGCTGTCCGTGTGCCTCGGTGGGCGCGCGCCCACGTTTAGGACACGAACGTGCCCTATGTATTGACGGAGCCAAATGGAGTAAAATCATCCCCGCAGAAGCGAATCGAGGAGTGCCGAGACCCCGTGGACGTCGTGCGAGAATTTGTTTCTCGAGGCTTGGAGCCAGCCAGAGGGCTGAGGTGGAGCATCTTTGGTTCCAGCCGTTGGAGAAGGGGAGAGACACCTCTGTGCACGGGTTTCGTTCGTTGTCCCTTTGGGGCCGCCTTCTCCAGATGGACATTGGATTCCGAAGTTTCCCCTTTCCGCCTCATGGCTGGTGCCCACCCAGAGCAGACCCCCCGACCGCTTCCAACCCGAGGCGATGTTGTGATAGATAGGCTCGTGCAGTCTCGGCGTGGCGGCGGCCTGGGCGAGGCCCTTCGAGGTTGAAGGAAGGCCCACGGCAGCCACCTGGGAGCCCCGACGGCGGAGATCGCTCAGGATTGGACGCTTCACGCGGTGACTGCCTTACCGATGGGGGAGGAGGAGGAGGAGGAGGAGGAGGAGGAGGAGGAGGAGGAGGAGGACGAGGAGGACGAGGAGGAGGAGGAGGAGGCGGCGCTGTGGTGGCGGTCACGGCGAGCCCGTGCGCCACCCCGTGTGGGTGGACGGTCTAGTTGCTGGAGTACCACCGCGCCCTGCTTGCAGGCGGGCCGTCTCGGGGCCGTCGTGCAACCGGCTTGGAGACCCGACGAAGTCTTCGGGAGCCTTGAGATGGGGGTCAATGCAAACGGGGGTCAGCCAGAGCGCCCGATCTTGCAGGATCCTGCAGGGCCAGGGTCGCGTGGACCCGGGTTTGGGCGCAAGATCTTGCAGGATCTTGCAGGATCTTTCACATTGACCCGGGTTTGGGTGCAGGATCTTGCAGGATGTTACAAGGCCTGACTGACCCGGGTCTGGATTGACCCTGGTCAGAAGATCCCCGAAGTCTCCAGGGACCATCCACAACCAATGTGCGAGTACGTAGCAGATTAGCCCGGGTTGTCGGCCAGGGCGGTTCATGGGCAAATCCGGGTATATCTCCACAGTGTTTGCATTCAGGGCGTCTTGCTCGTGTTGTACGGAATTGGGTCAGTCTCTTGCACGTTTTGTTGTTGCTTGCACGGGCCGCTATGGTTTGTGCGCCGCCCTCGCCCATGGGTGCATGGACCGCCAGGACGTTGAGTGGTTTGACTGCTTGGGCGAGTTCCAGCCACTTCAGCTGCACCCATCAGGAGTCTCAAGAAGAAGCGTCAAGTTTCGCGGACTCCAGATTTTGCTTCAGAAAAGAACATCAAGAATCTGGATTGGACCCTGGGCGTTTCTTTGTGCTTTTCTCTTCGTCCGTAGAGCGTGTCTGCCAAATGTACGGCGTGCTTGCTGAAGTGGCTTTGTATATGGCACTTCTTCCAGTGGCTACGTAGACCGCTGTGGTATGTGCCCCGCCCTCTCCCGTGGGCGTTCGGACTACCAAGGCGATTGCTTTACATCGGTGTGCTTGGTTCAGCTTGAATTGGTTTGCGTTGCACCACAAGTATCATAGTTAACTTTTAGGGAACCGCGCCGCCATCATTGTTCTCGGTTCCAACTTCGATGCCCAGGCGCACGCTGTTCAGGATTAGCGCACGTGATTTCGATTGACCTGTGTGCAAGGATGAGGGCAGTCGGAGAGAATGTTCATGCAGGTCAGGTCATGAAAGGGGGGCGAACTGGCAGGATCGGAAGTGCAACAAACAGGTTTCCCGAAGGCCATTGAGAACCCGTACTATCACGGCATGGCCGAGCTCCCGCCTTCCCCGCGCATGCGCTACCTCGTGTTGGTGCACAGCGGACGCGCGGCCCATTGCTCGCGGAGTGGCGATGCATCGGGAGACGGGGGAAAAAAGCGTTGATGCAGAGGCCCTTTCCCCACTCGTGTTGTTCCCCCACCGCCCACCCTCCCCGATGACTTCTTCTCAATATCGCACGCTCAGGGGCACCGAGCGCATGTTACACATCAGCCTTCATCTTCAGTGAGCTCAGGGGGCTCTGAAGCATTTCTGGCGTACGGTGTTGGCTTCGCGTGTCCAGGTCGCCCAGGCGGATGTCTAACATGAGGATTCGTTGAGGATGTCTCTAGCGAAATGCTTGTCGCAGTAGAGTGCGTCGCAGTCGTGCTTGCTTAATTGAGGGTAGTGCACGCCACTTCCACCCACCTATTCAGTTCGATGGGCACTTTGGCCGTATGGGCTGGTTGTGGCCTTGCACGGCTGGGCGGTGCCAGTGTCTTGGCCATTTCTTGTGGAAGATGTTTGGGAGTTCTTCTCGGAATGGTTTCGATCCACTGGGCACGTCTGAGGAACATTTCAAGGTGTGCGGCCCTTTTGTGGATCGTAGGGCCGTGGATGGGAGGCGGGCGTTTTGTCGAATTCTGTGGGGCTGTCAAAGGGCGAGGGGTCCTCATTGGTTGTCTTGGGGGTTGTCTACGGCTGTTTTGAAACCATCCAGGGCTGCGACGCATTAATTTTAAGTCGGGCCTGTCCCTCAACAGGAGGAAGATTCAAAAATAGTCAAAAATAGTCTGGGGACGATTTTTTGACTACTGCTGAGAGCATGTTTTGAGTATGTTTTGACTATTTCTCTTTTTTCGTCTAAAATCCCCCTGTAGGGGGACACGCCCGACCTAAGTCTACGGCTTTCTTGAAACCATCAGGGCGGCAACGCATTAATTCAAAAGTTGGTGGTCGAAAGCACGTTGCACGTAAATGCTCATGCGGTGATGCGGGAGGCGTTCATTGGGGCATCTCGTGTGCACTTCCGGGCCTCTTGCACTGTCTTGGGGGCACCTTCGGGTATGCTGATCCTCTCGGCCTCGCCTGGAGCCGTCTAAAGAGAAGTGGTCGTTCGGTCGCTCGGACCACGCCCTGACTAAGCCCGGGGGGGTGGGGCATCTCCTCCTGTGCAGCGGAAGATGTGGGAGATTCAGTGTTCAAGGTGGTTGGCAGGACGGGCACTTGTTGATGCCACAGATGCGGGCGGTTGAACATGTTATGTTCTCTTTCTTCTTCCTCTCGCCCAGGCCGTCCAGTGTGAACGTCTAAGACCGTCCTTCTCGGATGTGCGACTTGACCCGCTCGCAACCCCGCTGCGTTTAAAGATGTTGGACCGTTCAGGCTCTGGCCTGGAGGAAGAGTGGGTGGAGGAGGAGGAGGAGAGCACAACTGTTTGTTGGAGGTCCGGATGGAGCCTAGGAAGATGTAGTATAATGTTCGGCGTAATTGTTTCCTTCGGTTGGGTCGCCAGCGAGGGTGCGTATTCCAACCTTTCCCCAGCTCGACCTCATTCCCCCGCCTCCCTTCCTCGTCCATACTCCCATCCCCTCTGCTCTCCCCCCCCAGCGGTGTTCCTTCCTCCTGGGGACAAGACAAGCAGCAGCAACGGGATCCCCCGCGGACTCGGGGCCTGAAGATGTGCTCTCCGTGGCGCGCGCGCGCGCTCGCGCGCGCGCGCACGACCCAGCAGGATCCCCGCAGCCTGGCCCCCGCGGCGCGGGGACGATAGCGCCGCCCCCACCCCCCCTCCACCCCTCCCCTTCGGAAGGCGCCAGGTGTACATTTGCGCCGATCCTAGCCAGACCCATCCTGGGCCGAGGATCGGCCCGTCGGCCTGCCCAGGATCGGTGCAGGTGTATAGTTGGCGCCTTCCGAGGGAGGCCACCGCGCCCGCGCGGCCGCTTCGCGCTGGGCCCGCGATGCCGAAGGTGAAGAAGGCCAAGCGCCGGGACCTGCGGCCGCACCCGTACGCCGCTGCTGGGGACGGCGACCCGCAGAGGGCGAATCTCCTGGCGGTTCAAAGATAGGGCCCTGAGGGACGCGGCCTTCGGGGCCTTTGAGAGCGAGGCAAGTTCGGCCTGGGATTCCGCTTAGGGCCCCAGCCCTCAGGGCCCCATCTTTGAACCGCCGACTCTCCACCACCGTTCCTGGCCAGGGCCGCCCTGGGGCCGCAAGGATAGTGTACCGGCCCGTATTGGCCGTTCCGGCGCCCAGGATGGCCAACGGCCAGGCATGCACAGCGAGGCATCCGACGGCGTAGTGTCCTCACGCTGTGGAACCCCTGAGGTCTCGACACCCCGCCTCCCTAAGGCGACTCGTGAGTTCTCACACTGACCGGGACCCTCAAAAGACGATCGTCTGTAACGGCCTTGGGGCCCCGTGAGGGACCCAGGGGCCGAAAATTGGCATACATTTTCCGTCGCAATTTTTGTCAGGACTCGGAGGGCATTTCAAGAAGGGGGGAAAGGTAAAGAGCGATAATTACCGGGTTGCGTCTGCCCTCCTCCAAAACCCCTCCCCGAAGAGGGAATGGCCAAACGTGCCCCAGCACAGACGTACCCTGGAGAGGTTGCCTCGGAGCCCACCTCGGGACGCCCAACGGCTGCGCGTTGGCTCCCACCGTGGCTGGAACCGTAGCCGCTGCGACACCTCACTGGGGGGATACGTCCTGGGGGGACGCTGGGGCCTTCCATGAGAGAGAGAGAGAGAGAGAGCTCGCCGCACCACCTCCGCCCAGAGGGCTGGTGGCATGACGGATGCCTTCCGCGCAGGCGACGCGATGGAGGTGGTGGGCGCGGCGCCCGCAGAGGGCGCGGTGCCCGCCGGTGGCGCGGCCGGCGCCGCCGCGGGCGGCGAGGCCGCGCAGGCGAGGGGCGGGGGGGGCGCGGGCGTGCGCGGGCGCGCGCGCGCGGGGGCACGCGTCTGCACGGACGTGCGCGCACAAGCGCGCGTGGGCGTGCGCGCGCGAGCAGGCGTGCACGGACAGGCTCGGATCGGAGTAGACGTGCACCGATCCTGGCCAGGCCGATCCCTGGCTCGGCGTCACCCCAGCATACTTAGACTGTGTGTGCGTCGCCCCCCGGGGGCGACGCGCGCACCGAGAAATCTTATAGCATTATCCCGGCAAAGCAACCTAACAGCGATGTGTAGGAGCATATCTGGAAGCATTCCCCTTAAGATTCAGATGAGAATCCAGTTGTAGAATTCTGCTGTTCTCGCAGTCGTAGTCGCATTCGCGATGACAGTCGCAGTGGCAACGGCAGTCGCAGTCACAGCCTCAGCCTCAGCCTGCCTCAGCCTCAGCCTCAGCCTGCCTCAGCCTCAGCCTGCCTCAGCCTCAGCCTCAGCCTGCTTCAGCCTCAGCCTCAGTCTGCCTTCAGCCTCAGCCTCAGCCTCAGCCTGCCCTCAGCCTCAGCCTCAGCCTCAGCATCAGCCTGCCTCAGCCTCAGCCTCAGCCTGCCTCAGCCTCAGCCTCAGCCTGCAGCCTCAGCCTCAGCCTCAGCCTCAGCCTGCCTCAGCCTCAGCCTCAGCCTGCTTCAGCCTCAGCCTCAGTCTGCCTTCAGCCTCGGCCTCAGCCTCAGCCTGCCTCAGCCTCAGCCTGCATCAGCCTCAGCCTCAGCCTCAGCCTGCCTCAGCATCAGCCTGCCTCAGCCTCAGCCTCAGCCTGCCTCAGCCTCAGCCTCAGCCTGCTTCAGCCTCAGCCTCAGTCTGCCTTCAGCCTCGGCCTCAGCCTCAGCCTGCCTCATCCTCAGCCTGCCTCAGCCTCAGCATCAGCCTGCCTCAGCATTCAAAATGTGGCCCGGGAATGGAGTTCTGGGAACTCGAAGAACACGAAGTGGCCTACAGTTGGCTCCAGGCATTCAAAATCATGCCCAGGAATGGAGTTCTGGAAATTCGAAGACCACGAAGTGGCCTACAGTTGGCTCCGGGCATTCAAATTCATGCCCAGGAATGGAGTTCTGGGAGCTCGAAGACCACGAAGTGGCCTACAGTTGGCTCCGGGCATTGAAAACCATGCCCAGGAATGGAGTTCTGGGATCTCGAAGAACACGAAGTGGCCTACACTTGGCTCCGGGCATTCAAAATCATGCCCAGGAATGGAGTTCTGGGAACTCGAAGGCCACGAAATGTGGTACTGTTGGCTAAAAAAGGAGTCCCCGGATCCCGCCTGGATCCCGTCCGGATCGCGCCCAGACCCCCTTGGGGAGTCAAGATGTTCTCTTTTGACCCCATTAGAAACCTATCAGTCTTCGCTGTTAGGTAATATGCGTCGTGGCGGGCGCTTTCTGGCCACACCGTTCAAGAAACTATATTTTACAAGATGTGTATACTAAATGTTCGGGTCGGACGCGCGCCTCCAAGGAGGACATATAGTACTAGTATGTCCCTGTGCGTCCCATTGGCCCAGGATAGGTGAGCCTGGCCAGGATCGGTGTAGGGGGACGGTTGGCAGGCGACAGGTTCGGCTTCGAGGTCCTCGGACGCTCTTGTCGGTTCCAGGTCGTGTTCCAGCCTCGGAATGCGCCCCCGCAGCCCGAGGGCGTTCCCGGGGTGCTAGAATCGTCCGAAACGGCCGCCGGAGACTCCCGAAAACCGAGACCTGTCATTTCTAGGGGGGGGCTCCGGAGCGGATGCATCGACCCCACAGTCGGCCCGGATTAGTGCAGTAGGTCGGCCCTGCCAGATCAAGGGTATTTTTGTGTCCTGTGCCTCGCGACCCGTGCCTCCTGCATTCTTATGGCGGCGTGGCCTCCGGAAGGGTCTTGTGTCCTCTCGCGTGTCCTGTCCAATCCAGCACGACTGTAGCCGCGCATTGATCGCCGCTGGGGGCCCGATGGCCCACCCCGCTCAGGAGCGTGCGGTTCCGCCCTCGGGGGCCGACTGCCGGTCCATTTCCCCCCCGGGAGCCAGTCCCCTCCCCCTGCCTCGGGGATCTCCTGACCCGGGTCAATCCTGACCCGGGCCAGTCAGGCCTTGCAGAATCCTGCAAGATCCTGCACCCAAGCCTGGGTCAATGCGAAGGATCCTGCAAGATCCTGCAGGATCTTGCACCCAAACCCGGGTCCACGCGACCCTGGCCCTGCAGGATCCTGCAAGATCGGGCGCTCTGGCTGACCCCCGTGTGCATTGACCCCCGTCTCGAGGCTCCCGACTGTCGTTCCCCCTCAGCAGGAGGGCGCGGCGCCCGGGAAGGAGACGCACCACGACCTGAGAAGAAGACAGGCGGCAGAGAGTTCCGGCGTCACGAAAGGAGCCACGGAGTGTGGCGGCGGCGGCGGCTCTGTCTCGGAGATTTTCGCACGGCGTCTCCGGGAGTCCTCGTCGCCACGGCCAGGATGGGGCTCGAAGAGCTCTGCCGGGAGTGGTTTTCCGCAGATGTGGAGCGGACGACGACGGTGGCGACCGAGGAGTTGCGAAAGTGGAGGTTAGAGGAGTCTGGGCGACGAAGCCTGGAATTCTTTCGGTTCGGGCTTCGATTCGTGTTCCCGGCTTGGGCCTGCGATTTGGGGTCCTCCGCCTCCTCAGTCCTCCTCATCCGTCTCCTCCTCATTCATTCTCTCCCTCGCTTCCGCCTCCCTCATCCTCCCTCATTCCTTCCTCTGAGATGCAGCTTGGGAGGAGCTCGCCTCAAGGGGCTCCAACATCCGAGTTACCAGTTGATCGTTTTCTTGTTGCTGACAGCTGCGTTTTACTGCTGTTGTGTGTGTTGGCTGTTTGGCAGACTGATTGCCTGTGTTGTCAGAGCGAGGGGGCCGAACTGTCATTCATTGTCCCTGGGTGCATGGCTGAAGCGGGGTTCTGCGGTGCGGATTATTGTTGTTGCGTTGCGTTGTTGGTCGTCGCCCACGACCCACCCCGCGACCAACGCGCGACCCACCCCGCGACCCACTCTGCGACCCACCCGCGACCCACCCGACCCACCCCACGACCCACCCCGCGACCCACTCGCGACCCACCCACGGTGCTTTGACGAAAAAGTCGGCGCCTGAAGAGGGCTCGTGGTACAATGTGCTCAAAACATCGGCGCCTGCAGCGGGCTTCTCCGAAGCCTCGCGGACTGCCGGCGACCCCGCCGCCCCCCCACTCGTATCCGCCATTGCGGAATGCCATATTTCGTCCGCGCGCCAGCGCCGAATCATCGGGGCTGGGGGCGGTCAGGGGCCCAAACGGGAGGTACCCCAAACCAGGGTGATCCCAGATACACTCCAGGCGATGCTTAAGAAAACCCACGTTTTCGGCCAGAGTCTCGATTATTCTTAATGTTTCAATGAAAATCCTAAGATTTGAATGGACATGTTGGGTTTTTATTCCAGTTCTGAGACTATGAATTTCTTAACCCATGATTTCTTAAGCATTTCGCAGGGTGTAACTCGGGCGTCCAACCACTCCCGAATCCTCGGGGCGGGGGGCGGTGAGGGGTAGCTGCTGGTTCGCGCGTCGGGGGCCCGGACTGGAGCTGCCCCGGACCAGAGTTTTCCAGACTAGCTCGGGCATCGAAGTTTGTCGTTGCGCTGTTCCTCGGCTCGGGCCTCCGGGGCCCGCTTTCGAGACTGGACCCGGCGCGAGACAGTTCAGGATCTCAGGGGCCCGCGGATCGACGAACATATCGGCCAGGTGTCCCGGAGGTTCGAGCTGGGAGGTTCGAGCACGATTTTGTTGCGCGTTTTCTGCCGCTGGGCCTCCGGGAGCGCGCTCGTCGCCACGGCGGGATCCGCTTCGAGATCCTGGCCAAAATCCACGCCAAGACAAAGTGCGGGGAGGGGGATTTTTGACCCCCGGGCGGAGACCTCCCGGCGGCACCAACGGTGGTCTCCGAAGCCCGCGGGTGGCGGAGGCCACCAGAGCACCACATGCGAGCCAGGACCCCCAGATCCTGGCGTCGCAGACCGCCAGTTTGTCGACGTGCCCGCATTCTGGAGGCCGCCTCCGTCCCTGGCGAAGGGGTCGAGGTCTTCGAGGTCCCACGTGAGCGACGGAAGAAAGCGGGGCAGACTGCGCCGGCATTCGCGGGCATGTTTCCCGCATAAGGGCACGCGTAAGCGCCCTCGCTTCCAAAGTAACGTGCCTCGCTGTGGGGGCCGCGTAAGCCGCGGCGTGAGATCGCTATCTCATCTCTCGTGAGACCCGTTTCTTTTCGTCGCTCTCGTCACGAAGACATTGCGTCGTCGAATGAGAAGGAGAGAACGGCCGATTCTTCCAGGGCTTCGGAGTCCGGGTTTAGGGCCGCGGGCCCTCAGAAAAATGCAGAGGGCGAGGGATTAATGCCAAGGGCGGTGCCCAAGCCACGAAAGTTACGGTGACGTCGGCTCTCTATCGGGAGCGGCCAAGAGGCGGGTGACGACCCGAGGGCAGACATCATGGCCTGGGCCATGACATTTCCCCAGATCTCATGGCGCTTTTTCAGCACGTCCCCGGTCCCCCCATGGGCCATAATTTGCCCCCCCCCCTCGTGAACGCCCCACTCTGGGACGCCCCCGATAGGTGGCGGAGTGGAAGAAGATGAAGGCGGAGGTTGCGCTCATGAAGCGGCAGCGGAAGAAGGTGCCAGGCAAGAAAAACGGGGGCAAGGACGACAAGAAGGCCTTGTCCAGCAAGATCCGCGCCCTCATCAGCGGCCTCAGGGCCAAGCACGAGACCGAGCTTCGGGACGCGGGGATCGAAGTGACCGCGGAGGACTCCGGCGTCGACGCCGAAGCATACATCTCGGGCGAGGAGGATTGATGCTTGTTAGAGTTTAGAGCGTCGGCGAAGTTGCTTGTGCGTTGACATCCAGAAGGTTACGCCCGATTGTTCTGTGTTAGTGTTTCACTCCCGCGGGGAACAGCTAGGTGTGCGGCGCGAGTCCGGGGTCTGATCTGCCCCTCAAGGCTTGTGAGCCGGCGTGTTCGCTAGCTGACCAGGATTCTCGTTCCAGAGTCGTGGGGTCTTGCTGTTTCCTCTTGTCCTCTCGCCCTCGTCTCTTCTCACTTGTTTTCTCGTTGCCCGTCGTCGTCGTCGGCCTCCGACATCTTCGGCGGGACGGTGCCGACCCCACAGATGGTTGCCCGCGGGGCGACCTGGGCCGAGCTCAGCCTCGGAGTGCCGAGCCAAGCTGGTCGTGCCCCCAGCCCCGCGAGGAGGAGGAGGAGGAGGAGGAGGAGGAGGGAGGAGGAGGAGAGGAGGGGGAGGAGGAGAGGAGGGGGAGGGGAGGGGAGGGGGAGGGGGAGGGGGGAGGGGGGGGGAGGGGGAGGAGGAGGAGGAGGAGGAGGAGGAGGAGGAGGAGGAGGAGGAGGAGGAGGAGGACTGGAGATCCCCGACGGGAGCACGTGGTCGCCGTCGTCGGTTTTCGACGCGTTCGGGGGGCAGGGCCGACCCCCTCCGTTGGCTGCTCCCGGGGTGACCCTGGCCGAGCCCGCCCTCGGCCAGGGACGTCGTGCCGCGGCGGGAGCGCCTGGCCGTCGTCGTGGTGGCCGTCCTCGGCTCCCAACATGTTGTATACTCGGAGGGGCAGGGCCGACTCCTCGATTCCACGTGTCGTTCTAAGGCCGATCGGCATCGACGTGCCAATGTCTGACAAACCAGCCTGCATAATGTTTCCCCAGGCGCGATTGACACGATTGTAGCGTCGTCTTTCTTCAACGCGGTGAGTGACAATATCCGCAACGTGCTGGCGTTGTGTGAGGGTCTAAATGCGCAAGTGTTCATGCCTCATCACAGAACGCATCGAAAGCATTGTCACCTTCAAGATATAGTTTCAAATACTCGTGCCAAACTCCCCACATCCCCTTGCTGAGCCCCTTGTGGGAAGTACGAAGTACGAGTCATCTTCGCGAAAACTGTCGCGTGTAAGTGAACGGGAGTGGTTCTGCAGGGGTTATGGGCATAGTTGTTTGTGTACGCTTCTTCGTCCGGGCAACCCCAGGCGACAGTAGTGTCTTGGCATGTTCTATAAATGTCATGAGTTCTTTGTTGTTGTGGTTGGACGTTTGCTTGTCTCCGTAAACGCTCAAGAGTTCGATGGGTGAAGTGGGGTGCGTGATGACGACGCGAAGACTCGAGCAGTATATGCCAATTGGTTATACCGAAAGGGCCCATACGAGACTTCATTTCCATCGCGAACTTTTTTTCAACATACGGGACGTAATAATCCTATATGCTAAACACAAGCAAATCATGAAATAGATCCTGCCGCTCTCGCAACCGATGCGGCCCGAGCAGATGCTAAACATTGTAGAAGAATTCGCGCGCATGGGTCAGTGATGCAATGTGGTACCAGTTTCATGGTCAGGTCTGAATCCGTGTATTCCTGTTTCTTCCCCGTTACCATACCAATATATTCTAACAATTTCCGTCCTTCCGGAAGTCCGTGCACGCCCAGAGGCAGACACAAAGCAAGGCCACGATCCAAATTCGTTCGCCCAGGATCATGTCTCAGCAGCGGTTGTGTACCCGTATTTGGTTGGAGTTGTGGATTATAAACGCAGACTCAGAACGTTGTCCTTGTTGTTATGTTTAGTGCTAGTGTAGCAAAGTCAATGCCCGGTCTTCGCCACGCATGTTGATGCAGGAATTTACGCATGCACCACATATCTCGTGTACATCATTGTGATTGGGTGCATGGCACTGCCCCTGCGCACCACACTTGCGAGCGCGCACACCACAATGTCTTCGCACAGCGCAGCTGCGGCCACTCCAGCACGTTCCGCATGCACTACAACGGTTGTGCACAACACGATCCGCGCGCACACCACAGCAGTTGCGCGCAGCGCGCCGTTTGTCGCTTGCGTGCGCCACACTGTCTATGTACACTACGAAGCCCGCGTACACTTCGCGAGGTCCATGAATTGACATTAGTGTACGTGGGGGGGAGGTGCAGAATACGAACGCATCAAATTGAACACGCAAGTTTTTGTGATTATTGTTTTTTCGATGCCTGGATACCATTTTGGCATTTGTTTCCGGCTGCGGTCGGCCGCGGCGACGCATATCCTTTCAAAAGGGGGGACTGTTGGCGTCTCGAGTTCACGCGCGCCGCAGTTTCGTTAAGGAAGGCCCTGGCCCACGAGCATTACAGTGCCCGCATACACTACAAAGCTCGCGTATACCTCCAGGTACCCGACGGTGTCGAGCTCCAACATACCCTGGCCAGTGTGAGCGTATCAAATTTAATGGGCAAGTTGTTAATGTTTGTTGATTGTTTTGCCACGGGCACGCCTTGCACCCCCGTTGCTTGCGAGCGCAAAGATGCAAGTGAATAAATATTAGAATGTTAGACACCACGACGCTTGTGTGCACCCTAATTGACGTCGCAGCTAACGTGCACGTTATTCGCACCGATATGTTTGTGTCTTCCAATGTGTTTGAGCCGCAGTGCAGATGGGGACAAGAGGCAATACCGGGAAGCCGCCCCCTCCCCCAAAAAAAATATCTTGGCGAAGGACCCAACCATATGCAATTGTGAATAACGCTTTGTGGGTGCCGCTTTCGGTGGGGCTCCTTATGAGGCCACGAAAGGCGTGCCACGAAACGCTGTCCTGGGCGCACGGGACGCATGAGGGCGGTAGCACTGGGGCCTTCGGTGGAGCTCCCTATGGGGCCACGAAACGTGTGAGGGGAGTGCCGAAATGGGTGCGGCGCCGCCGTGCGAACGCAGCCATTGGGGCCTTCGGTGGAGCTCCCTGTGGGGCCACGAAACGTGTGAGGGGTGTGCCGAAATGGGGGCGGCGCCGCCATGCCAACGCAGCCATTGGGGCCTTCGGTGGAGCTCCCTATGGGGCCACGAAACGTGTGAGGGGAGTGCCGAAATGGGTGCGGCGCCGCCATGCGAACGCAGCAACTGGGGCCTTCGGTGGAGCTCCCTATGGACCAACGAAAACGTGTGAGGGGTGTGCCGAAATAGGGCGGCGCCGCCATGCCAACGCAGCCACTGGGGCCTTCGGTGGAGCTCCCGATGGGGCCACGAAATGTGTGAGGGGTGTGCCGAAATGGGCGCGGCGCCGCCATGCGAACGCAGCCACTGGGGCTTTCGGTGGAGCTCCTCCCTATGGGGCCACGAAACGTGTGAGGGGTGTGCCGAAATGGGTGCGGCGCCGCCATGCCAACGCAGCCACTGGGGCCTTCGGTGGAGCTCCCTATGGGGCCACGAAGCGTGTAAGGGGTGTGCCGAAATGGGTGCGGCGCCGCCATGCGAACGCAGCCACTGGGGCCTTCGGTGGAGCTCATATGGGGCCACGAAACGTGTGAGGGGTGTGCCGAAATGGGTGCGGTGCCGCCATGCCAACGCAGCCATTGGGGCCTTCGGTGGAGCTCCCTATGGGGCCACGAAACGTGTGAGGGGTGTGCTGTGATAGTGGGAGGAGGGAGGAGGCGGAGGAGAAGGAAGGAAAGAGAGGAGACGCGGGGCACCGTCTCTTCAAAACAAGGGCCCAACACCACAGGATGGTTGGGAAAAACACATATCTTGGGAAAAAATGCCAGGGATCAACCAACGACACAGCAAAATACACCAAGAATAAGCTGCCAAAGGGGTCTTCAAACCGTTGTCAGGTATTGAAACGAATTCTCGTGGTTATCAACACCAGTGATACAGCTATTGAAACTACTGTTCGTAGATATTGGAATCATTGTTTGCAATCGTTGAAACGAATGTACAAATATTGAATCGGGCGTTCCACTAATGAAACCGTTATCACAAATTTGGGGCACATGCTTGTTTTCATTTGAAAGGCAGCGCGGTGTCGATCGTTAAAGAAACGCCACGCCTGATTGTGGAAGGTTCTGAATCATAGACCAGACGTTGAATCACAAACCGCGCGCGCCGAATTTCAAGCAGCATGCGCGCATCGAAACACAAATATCGCACGCCGAATCACAAACAATACGCGTTGAATCATGGACTGCGCGCGTTGAATCACAATTCGCGCGCTCCGTGAATCACAGAATGCGCGCGGTGAATCACAAACAGCACGCGTTGAATCAAAAGCCGCGCGCACCAAATCAGAAACACCACGTATTGAATCAGAATCCGCACGCGATGAATTTCCAACAGCAGTTATTGAACCACCCACCGCACGCAACGGTGAATTGGTGATCCGGCCAGCTGATTTGGTGATTTGGTGATCCGGCGACCCGGTATTATGGAAAAATTGTTGATTTGGTGATTCAGCTGATCTGGCAAATCCGGCTGATGGCCAGTAAATCTTGTGATCCCGGAAGCTTTGGCCAGCTGATTTGCTGATCCAGTGTCCAGGTTATCCAGTGTATCTAAGTTGATCTGGTGATCCGGCTGATCTGGTGATTTGGTGACATGCGCGGGCGGTGGTAGTTGGGTTCTCGGTAGAGCAAGCATATGAAAGTGTCACGAAATGAGTTTAGATGACGCATGCGGGCGGTGGTATTGAGGCTTTTGTTGTAATTTCCTATGGAAATCAAGGGTGTGACATATGCGCGCGGGTGACGCATGCAGATGATAATATTAGCGCATTCGGTGGAGCTTTGTATGAAGCTATGGGGCGCACGATAGGTGTTTATTTTTGGCGGTTCGCGCCGCACCAACCCATACAAAAAACTTTTACCAGGTGAGTTAATTAGTCAGGGACGCTTGGAAGCACGCGGTCGCGCAATTGTTTTAGAAGCATCAAAACAAGATGGGGGCCAGACATCATTGCAAAGACGCGCCATGGTGTTCCTTTTGGTAAGCGTTTTTGACACAAGTTCTTGCATCTACGATGCGACGCCAACGGCACGCAGATTGGAGTCGCACTTCGATGGACATCTTTAGTCCGAATCCTTGCTCTACGCTGTATCTTAAATTCGCGTGCATTTCGAAATTGGTCACTCAGGTGGTGGTGCTGGTGGTGCTGCTGCCGGTGTTGCTGATTATATTGTTGCTGACGCTGCTGTTATTGATGTTGGTGATGATGTTGCTGGTGCGTCTGCTGTGATGTTTCGAATCATGTTGGGAGCAGCAGGAGGGAGAGGAGGAGGAGGAGGAAGACAAACAGAAAAGGAGGAAGGGACTACGACAAGGAGAGCGAAAAATCGATTTTTGGGGATATGTTGTGGTGAAAAAAACTTCGAAGAATCGTACTACCATGATGGCGCTCTCTTGG